TCCGGCCAATATCTGATAGGTCAGGGGAAGTTCATTGGTAAATCCCTGCTCAATGATTTCAAGGTTCTCAGCCTCCCTGGTACTTTGACTATCGCTTAGTGTCTGTCAGTTCAGTTTTTGGATTATTGACTTGCATTAGTGTAGTCTCAATTTACTATGGCCTATCCCAAGATAAGAACTCATAAACCTTGTTAGACTTGCTAGTCTAGTGGGGCTTTCTTAGCTAGTGGATATATGCATTAAAGTCCCCTTCCATAATTTTGTACATCTTTTTTATTCCCTATTTGCCTTCATTTTCTCCAAGACTCCAAACTGTTTTCAAGAAATTATTTTGATATTTTTTGGAGTTTTAAATTCTATATCTTAATAAATTGTGTACCAAGCATACAAGTATATTACATTTTACCCATATAATAAAAATAATGATTACAACCCAAATTTTACTCTGCCTGGCATTATGTCACATTTAATCCTCATGTCAATCCTTGTCTGTATTTATTAGTGATAAAGCTAAGTACTCTAGAGTAATTTCATTTCAGTTTTGACTAGAGGATGCTGACTTTGAACTCCCCGTTCTTTTTAAGTCTAGATTGTAAATTATAGTCATGACAATCACAAAACAGGTTCATATTATCTAAAGAATAGTAAGTTGTTTTGAGATATTAGTAAGCACAATATCCATCTTTGAAAGTATGCCTCCCAAGGCATCTGCCTACCCTGATATTCATGAGGACAAGGACGTTACTTTGCTTGGCTGTGTTACTCTTCAAATAAGGACACATGGATTCTTCTTAGCTCACATGGCTTACAACAGTGTAACTTTGAAAACTAATAGTCTCTAGAAACACATCTGAAAGACTCACAGATTTAGGCATTTGTATATGAAAATATCTTTTATAAAACCTAACAAATGATCATACCCACTGTGGGATTATACTATATTCTCCAAATAAGTCATGTTTCCATTTCTACCAGAAATTTTATTTTTTCTAACAAAAATCGTTTTAAGGAGAGACTTTTGTTTTAAATGGAAACCTCTAGTGCCTCATATTTAGTAGGAAGAAGTGTGTGTGCGTCTGTGTACTCATTGACTAGTAATTCTGATTTTACCCTGCATTAGCTAGTTTTCAAATATCTCTATGGAATAGCACTCATTGACTAGTAATTCTGATTTTTACCCTGCATCAGCTAGTTTTCAAATATCGCTATGGAATACTCACAGAATCATTTTCTTTCTAGAAACAATTCCCAGATCCAAATTTTCATAAACCAGGAGATCTTAAAATATAAATTAACACGAGCTAAATGCTGCCTGACCCTTCCTTATTTTATACAATCTGTTTTAGTAGAATTCCTAAGACAAATGACATGTCAATAACTGCAAACACATCTCACAGAAATCCTCAGCTTCCTGCTCCATGCCTTACAAAATATATAGGAAATCAATCCGTGTTGCATAGCTTTGTTCAAAATACTTTAAATACACATTTACGGCAGAATTAAAAAGGTTCTTGAGATGTGGTCTTAGGTCTATACATAGGTATAGACTTTCCAGGGAAGATAAAATTCTAATGTCTACTGTGTAGCACTTAATGTTCTTTGGGGCAAAATGTCCTATTGCAGCCAAATTCAAGGCAACAGTATTTGATTTTAAAAAACCTAACTGGGACAAGATGAGAGTAATACTAGCCACACACCATGGAACCTAAGAATCTGTGACCAAAATGTCCATAAAAGTTATGAAAATACCCGTGTGTGTGTGTGTGTCTGTGTGTGTGTGTGTGTGTGTGTGTGTGTGTGTGCATGTATGCTGTGAGTGCATGTCCCTGCATTCACCTAGAGGTCAGAAGAGGATATCAGGTGTGTTTAGTTCTTTTGATCTTACTCCATTGAGGTGGGGTGTCTCACTGAACTGGAAGCTGTCTACCTCCCCTGCCAGCAAGCTCCAGAAATTCTTTGTCCCAGCCCCCAACCTGCACTGGGATGACAGGTGATCCAGCTATGCCTGACTTGCATGGGTGCTCAGGTTCTCCTGCTTGGGCAGCAAGTAGTCTTATACATCAAGTAATCACTCCAGTCCTTGAAAATACATATGAGCCAACTGTAAATAAGGATATGAGGGTGTGAATTCTAGTTAATAACCCAACTCTAGTGTCAAGGATGCTAGAGCTGCTAACTTCCTCTTTAGTGTACTCTCTTGGGTAAGCCATGCAATGCTTCTGTGAGTCATTGTCCTTATTTTCAAAATGGTAATAACAGAATCTCTATCTCATAAGGCTGCTGTGATGTTTAAATAAGCTTTATAGTTCCCATCAGTGAAATGCAGAAAGTAATCACTCTGACTATTGCATAAGATTGTGGGGAGCTGGTAGCCTTCAGATGATGGTGTTAATTTGAGGGCATTATATTACTCAAATGAACATGATGCTGCGGGAGGATTTAAACAAATGAGAAGGGCTCTGGAGCTATAGTTCAGTTTGTGAAGTACTTGCCTAGCACACAGAAAGCCATGTATTCAATACCTATTACTACATAAACTAGATGTGGAGGTGCAAGCCTATTACCTCAACACTTAGGAGACTAGGGCAGGCAGATCAGAAGTTCAAAGTCCTATTTAACCACATAATGAATTTACAGTCTGCCTGACCTATATGACATACTATTTCAAAATAATTAATTACTGTGCCATTAAAACTGTTATATTTTTCTAGGGGTAGCCAATAAAGAAGACAACAGAAGTTAAATTTCTATCATTGAGCTGAGCATTTTTCCCTAATAGAGAATAATTTTCAAATGTAAAATTCTTACAAACATTAACATATATTTAAATGACTTAGGGATCATGGGCACTAAGATAACAAAATAACCATAAAGTCATAATTGCCATGGGAAGAAGATTACCTACAAATGTGTAAATATAGCATATCATCAATCAAATAAAAGTTTGAACTTCTAGGCAAATAAGAACACTATGTTGCAAGATGTTATAAAGCTTCAAGATGTTGTAAATCGCCAAAGAACTGTTGAATTTTAAAGTTCTTACATTTTATAAATAAATGTAATGTACAGTGTCGGGTTGGCAACAAATGGAGGAACCCTTAGAACCTGACAAATTCAACCAACTTGTGCACAACAAGCAAACATATCTAAAAGCAAAACACTGAAGAAAGTATAGGAGCACTTTGGTCATTTAGCACATACCTGACTCTGTCCCCTTGGAAAGACCACCTTTGTCATTTGTCCTTGGTGAAGATCACCCAAGCAAACAAGTCAGGTAAGGGTTACAGAGTTAAAAAGAACTTGTGATTTTTACCTCTTATAACTTCAAACCTGAGGTACTGCATTCTATGACCATGGAAGAACCGCTTCTGCTATCCAGCCTGCAGTATGAATCTTTCTCACAATTAAAGACATTTTAATTGTGGGGCATACAAAAATTCAACACAGGATTCCAGAGCCCCCAAAATTCTTGATTAGTGAAACAAGTAAAAAAAATACTATGTGCTGTCTAACATAACCTCCATGAAAGGAGAGAAAAATAACAAAATAAAATACTTTAGTAAATCTCTGGGAAACTACATGATATTCAGTGGGGGAATGAAGAACATTGGGTCCATGAAGGAGGCAAGACTTTTCTGAATCATTTCTTCACATATTTGAATTTCGAATCATACTGTAACAGGCAAGCACAAATTTGTATTTCAGCTGCTTGCATAAGAGGCCAAGAATCTAAAAACATCTAGCCCAGATCCTGACCATGGATATGCATATGAATTCCTTGCTTGTTAAATAACAGTGTGTGTCAAGTCCAGTACACAGAGACAAAAACTCCCATCCCACATTTAACAGTTCTCACCATCACCAAAGTCGGGCCTGACCCAAGTGAACATGAATGGAGGGGACAGGGCCTGTTGGCATGTACACACTCCTTGTCCTCTGCTCACTTTCCTGTTACTGGTAGTTCAATGATGATGATGGATGGGGAAGGAATTGTAGGGTAAGGATCTTAACGGATTGTTGGTGCTACTGCAATCCACATAATAATCCCCCAGTTCTGGTTCTTTCATCCTATCGTGGGCCTTTTACGGGTCCTTCGGAGATAATTCAAGAGTATACCTTGAACCTTATTTTCTCAGAAAGTATTCCTGCACTGATGGAGTTCCCACCTTTACTCCCATATGAGAAGTCACTGTAGCATCCTTTATTTTACCATCTAGTATCAATGCTCTTTGGTAATTCTTTTTTCTGCCTTTGACCTGCAGAAGTGCAAACTTCTGCCTCTGCACACTCTCTCAGCTCTGAATTCACAGGCACATCTCTTCTTCTCGTAGATTTTATCTTTTCTGGTGGGAAAATCAGAAACCCACCTCAATGTTTTCTGAGTACCAGGAAAAACTACTCAAATCACTTGAGTTTACAAACACCTGTGAGGGATAAGGGATTTGGCTGAGAGCCACAGTACTATTCTGAAAACTATTCTGGATTTATTCAAGTAAATCTCCCTGTCTAATCCTTCTCCAACTGTCAACTGGGACTCTAGTCTGGGGGCCTGGGACACTTGGCTAAACCTCAGAAGTCTGACATTCAAGCTCTGATGAGGCTGTCTCATGTGTCTCATCCCCCTTTTCTCAAAATTTTGAAATATGAAATAATAGAAATTCTTACATTAATGAAAACCAGTTTAAGCCTATGTATGTCTTTTGCTATTTAAAAATCTAAGGACAGTGAAGCTGAAGAAGCAAGAAATTTATTAATTTTTGTTTAATAAATTTACTGTTTGACTATTTTATTATATTCAAGTATTTTTGACTTAAGTATGTTTTAAATATATATTCCAGTTAAATAGCTACATGAAAATAAACTCTAAATTTTAATAAAATTTTGACTTTCATTTCATATTAAAAATTGCTAAATCTTGTTTGTAATATAGGAGAGTCAAAAAGGAAGATGAAGAGAGAAGAGGATTGAAGAAGACAGAAGTGGGAGGGGCTAAGACTCACCTTGTCTCGTCGATGTAAACTGCTTCCAGCACTGATGCTGCATATTCAATGTTCTTCTTTAGGTCGACCACATTGACATCACCTTTCTCCAGCTGCTTCACTAAGCATCTTAGTCTGTTTGCAAAATGGGAGACAACGAGAGGAATAGAATTCTTATAACCAAGAAGAGATAGCTCCACATTAAATACACGAACTAAGTAAATCAGCTAACATACCTACTTCTAGGTCATTAAACAGATTTTCGTTTTTGTGTAACTAAAATCTTTCTCACATAAGTAATCATTGGAAATGATATTCACTTCTTGGGAATATTAGGAGGATTAGTATGTATTGTGAGAATCATCTTCAAGGTCTTTTTTCCTGAAAATTCTCGACGACCTGTTCAAAACACTTTCCTAAGATTCAACTTTTGGACTGGAATTTTATCTGATTATTCTGTTTCTTCAAGGGTGCCCATGTCATCTTCTGACAGCACTTTGACTGTTATTCACTGTGTAAAAAAGTGGGGGAGAATGGTAAAAGTCAAAGCTGACTGCCGAAAGATGAGCAACTCTGGTCCAGTACCCTCTGTTCCAGTCCCTCACCCCATATTCTTTCTCAGCACAGACCCACAGCAATAGACTGAAATATCAAAACCCAGGAGCCAAAATAAATCTTCCTCACTTAAATCCCTTCTATCTAGTATTTGTCACAGTGATAAACACTAATCTACACTAGTGTACTGCTATAGTTTTTCAGCTAAGGTGAATCTGAAAAATATTTTCTCTTGGCTTTGCCCACAGGACCATGAGTTCCAATTCTTAGAAGAATGTGGCTGGGCGGTGGTGGCTCACGCCTTTAATCTCAGCACTTGGGAGACAGAAGCAGGTGGATCTCTGTGAGTTCGCAACCAAGCCTGGTCTACCGAGCGAGTTCCAGGACAGGATCTAAAACAATACAGAGAAACCCTGTCTCGAAAAACCAAAAAAAAAAAAAAAAAAAAAAAAAAAAAAAGAAGAGGAAGAAGAATGTGAAACTGTGAAGTGCAGTTAAGGCAGATCTAGGCCCTGATTGACATTGACCTACAATGATTAAGATTAATGTTTGAAGACCCTGAATTTGGAGACAATTGTCATGCAGCAACAGACTTCCAATACAGTGAGACAGTACAAAAATGACCTGGATATGAATGTGGCATGGTAGGGAACATCAAAGAATTAAATTATAAAAGGCAAGTATCTGAAGACACTTCTCTGAGTTGAGCAGGAGTCATATTGCTTGCCTAGATCGGCCATCATTTCCTGAGCACAGAGAACTATATACCCCCTTTCTATGCATGCTATGGGTAAGCAATGTGAAGAGAACTTAGATATTTCCCTTAGTGCTCAGACAATTAATTTCAACTCTGTTTAAAGGAGATGGCAGAACACAGCCTACCCTTGAGCACTAGCTAACATAGGATAACTCGTAGGATAACTCGATTTTTCAACAGTTTCCTTTTGGTAATTTCCAATACCAATCTTTAGAGTATCTAAGAACTTTGCAAAAGCCAGTTGACATTTCTCAACCCAGAGAAACACTTCCTCTGTAGAAAATGTCACACCTTCATTAAAACTTCTTGAGGAGCTGTGAATTATTACACTTTCACAACATTAATTTTGTGAAATAAAATAGTCGCAGACACATCACAAAGTGAGTTGTACATAGCAGTAAATGACTTACACGAGTCGTACAGCAAAATAAAGACCAACTTGAGGAAAGTACAGCTCTTGCAGGCTACATGAGAAGGAAATGCTTTATGAAACATTGAATGTGTTAATAGTGAAGTTAACATGTAAAGGTTTTGGAAATTTCTGGCTCACATACTTTAAATTTTGTCAAATTAACTTTTATTTATAAAAGCACCAGGGATTTTCACTTCTATTTCTGTGTGTCATCATAAATACTCATCATAGATCTATTCTCCTTGTGAGAGTTGTTGAGTCCTGTTTGATTGTAACTGGAACTGACTGCATGAAATACTTGACAAACAAAAAGTTTTACACATAATGATCACTGGTGACGTAAATGTATTTCAATATATTTGTAACATATCTTCCTCATTTATTCATTGAGATGGTACACTGAAATTGTTTTGGGTTTTGGCTCTTATGAGTAGTATTACAATCAACACAGTACAGAAGTCTCTTTCACAGTCCGGTTTTTATTTTTTTTATACATTGTTGCTTAGCTAATTCCTCCAAACTGAAAAGCCTCCATCCCTGTACCAAGGAAGGACTTACAACAACCTAGAATACTGTCAAACCTCTAGTATGTCTATGTGGGTATTTCCAGGTGGGAATTCAATGAGAGGGAAAATTAACCCCGAGTGGTCTGGAGAAAACAGAATGACCTAAAGTGCCAGCATTCTCTTTCTTTGTTAGGTCCTCTGGCTGGCTGTGGTGGGAGCAGCTTGACCAAGTGTATCTTTACTCTCATAATGGCTTGATTTCTCAGAAACAGTGAATATGAAAAACCTTTCTCCATTAAGTTGTTTCTGTCAAGTTTGAGATTATAGAGATGGAAACATAACTAATGCACCACCCATTAAGGATGTCAGGCAACGAAGATGTAAGTACCTGTGCCTGGCTTGGTGGCATACACCTCTAATTGCAGCACTTGGGGTCTGGACCACGAAAAAGACCATCAAGACCAGGCTATAACCACAATTACTTTGAATTTTGTATGTATGAAACTAAACCTAATCCTGATGAATAAAATATATAATAAAAGAATCAAAATGAAGAGCCCAAGAATAGACAAAATTTCATACAACACAAGTGGACAAGAGGAATGTTTCCTGGAGGATTACTCAGACATCCGAGTGGTCCCCAGGGAGTCACTCTATCAGTATTCTGTTACAGGAAGAGCTGTAATGTATACACAGTGAGCATGCCCATCAGGATCGTGAAGAAGGCTTATAAATAAAAATATTTTCCACCCTAAAGACTGAAGGACATATATATTTCAGGACGATTATGACTCCCTTTTTTCCTACCTCTTTTGTTTATAAGCACAAAATATTTCACTTATTTATTTATTCTTTTATTTATTTTTCTATTTATTTTTGGAGACAGGGTTTGTTGGTGTAACAGGCTGGACAGGAACTCATTTTGTAGACGAGGTTAGACTCAAACTTACAGAGATCCATCTGCCTTTGCCACCTGAGTGCACAAAATATTTTTGAATGAACATGTAAATATATGAGTATAATATTTATGAGTAAATTTGAAAACTATGATATAAACGGATAAAAATTGTATTCAAGTTCTTCACACAGAATATTTTTATCATCATCATTAACTGTTTATGTTCTGTTTATTTTTTTTCTAGGCTACTAAGTATATCTGGGAAAATACCTATCTCATAAAATCTCTGAAGGATATGTCCATACTTAGAAACCAAGCCATATCTTTTATTCCTTACACACACACACACACACACCACACGCTGAACTATCTCCCATTTTCTCTGACACCAAGTCACATATTTATCAGACCATGTGTAGATACAGAAATTTATCAGTAATGAATTGTTGATAAGTGTGTGTAAAAAGTGTGTGTGTGAGCATATTTACAAGATCATAGGTGACATGACAGCAGAAAGGAGGCTGCTGGGGGTGGGAGTCACAAAGGAGAGAGAGGGCATAAGGAAAAGGGGAAGGAGAGAAACGAAAGGTGAAAATTTTGCTTGCAAATACCATAATGAAACCTGATTCTTTGAAAGTAATCAGATGAAAACAAAGGCAAATATTAGCCCAAATACAACAACGATGACAAAAATTATCAACAAGGTTGTTAAAATATAATTAAAATGAAATAATGAAAACATCTAATAAGCTTAACTCTGACTAAATGAACCTTGAGAGATTCAAACTACTAAATCTCAGGAAGAAATGAATAGAACTGAATTTGTGTTAAAATCACTCTTCCCTAAGAACCAACAGAGTAGTGTTGAAGTTGAAAACTTGATAGAGGACATTAACGCTCACATTATATATGGACACAGAAGAACAGCATAAAATCACACAGAACTGTTGGGACAAGAAACTATGGTGTCACTTTCAGGAAACCCAGCTTGGAATCTAAAACAGCACAAAGTAAGAAAAAGGACACCAAAGTCATTTCAAACACATTTTTTCCATGTTGTCATAGTATTAGTGAATAATGAATCATGGGCTCTACAGTTCCCTAAAAATTTGTATCATTGAAGAAAGGAGAAAAGTGTGGTTTCTGCTGTGCTTGTAAGGACTACATGTAGTAACATTGCATTGTATCCTGGGAATTTACTAAGGGATAGATTTTTAGGCACTTTCACAACAAAAAAAAAACAACTAAATAGAAAGATGGCAACATCCCTTTTACTAACTGTAATAATTGATCACTGTATACTCATACATGTGTGTAAATAACATACTTTATGCCTCAAATGTGCATAATAAAACAACATGGCAAATGATATTAGCCTTAAAATATTTATATATGATTATAGTTTCCATTTATAGGAACAACATAATCCTATTGACAGACAATTTAGTCATGTCTCACTATAGAAGGAAAATTGAGGTTAGGACACTTACAGATTCTCAAATCCTACAAAAGCTCGGGTAGTCACCTATGCAATGTCCCCCATGGTTGAAATCACTGAAGATTGCTTGCAATCCTTAATGCTTAATGTATGAGTAGTGTTTAAGTAGATGCCATGCTGTACCCTTTAGAGTGGTGACAGAGGGGAAAGCCTGTGTGTGTCCAATTCAGATGCATTACTTCCTCATTATTTTCAAATCACAGGTAGTTCAACCAAGAGATATGGGAACCATGAGCCCAAAGTACCTGCCCTGTGTGATAAGTGAATTTTTCTATGTCTAAAATTATATCCAAAGTTTCCTCTTCTTTAAGAATATGACAACTTAGTAAAACATTTATCACTACTTCAAGGGATAAAAGCTTATTGTTTTACAGAAATAATCATTGTGTAATTCCCAGTATATAAAATAAAAATTCCCTCTTAAGTCCAGAGATAGTTAGAAAGGCCTTCAAGATCCACTCCTTTCTCCTTGGAGACAAAACAAACAAAATAAAAAAGTATACAACCAT